GCTGCAGGCAAGAGTGGCATCCACACAGCCTCCACCATGAAGTGACCATCCTCTTTGAACATTACTTCCTGCTTCAACTCTGAGGAAGAACCCACAGGCCACTCAGAAGATGAACCAGCAAGGCTGCTTCATGCACCCTCGACCACTGATAATAACAACTCAGAGAGTATTTTGGCAAGATTAGAAGTGTAACAGTATGCAATTCCATACTCTGAAGGCCCCAAGCAGCTAATTGATTTGTGTCTAAACCCCTGGATTAAGAATGCGTGATGCCCTTTACTGACAGTGGCAGGATTTGCCAACTGATGACAGTCCTCTTGCCTTGACTAAACACTGCTCCCCTTAGACTTTGAGACGTGGTCATTTGATTGAAGCACGTTCAGTGTGTTTGTTGCACAAGCTGCTGACACATGTCGTAGGTATGACATTGACATAACACAGGCATACATTTACATTTACATGTCCAGTCCCCCTTCCATGATCATTGCTGGCAAAAGTGACAAGCTGCTTGGCTTTGTGCCTGTACTTAAAGGCAAGGTAGAAATGCTGTAAGCATTCAAGAAGGCATAAAGTAGGTATGAGCAAAGAAAATAAGCTTAGAGCCATGGGATTCATATGTTCCGGTTGTGTCGCTCTTCACAAAATGGCCTGGCAGCAGCATTACAACAAAAAGTATTGTGCTCCAAAGCACAGTACTGAAGTGGTAAACTGGATTCTAAGTGAATTAGAAATGTGCCATGATGATGTGGCAACACTGGTGCTCTGCAGATGACAGCCTCTGGACAGAAGTGCAGGTAGTTGCTGTCCTGAGAAACTGGGGAATGATGGACACCTGGAGAAGATGTAAGTGAGTTGTGTCTGCCAGGTACCTGCTTAGACTTTCAGGTTGGGAACTATTGCTGTCTACTTCCCCCTCTACTGCCTGGGAAAATAGCAACCTGCATACAGATAACGTGAGATTAGATAATAACGAGGTATTAATGTGTGCAAATAGTTCCCTTACCAATCTGGCAAGATTCCCATTTTCTGTTGAAATCTTAAGCACAAAATTGGACTTTTCTTTTTTTTTCTCATCCTCAGTTTCATTCTTACTGTATTTTCTCAACTGTCTAGGCATTGCCCACATTGCTCAGGCCCTAGAAAAATTCATGCCATCATGTCAAACTTTTTTTTTCAGGAGCTCATTGACATGATGGATAGTGAAGTATCTATGGTTGTTGTACACGTCAATTTCCAGAAAAAAAATTAAATGTTCCACATCAGAAATTACCAGCAATAATGGAAAAACCCACAGAACTGGAGGTAACTTTGTGGTATGGTTTTGTTATTGTCTGAGAGGAAGCAGAAAGATAATCAGGTTAAACTGAATGTTCTCTGACAAGGTGTGAAATGTAGTGCTCCCCAAGAATCTGTACTGACATCTCAGCTCATCAACATATATAAATTAATGACTTGCCTGAAGGAATAGTGTTTAGATATAATATTTTCAGAACTAAGTTAGAGGGCACAATAGTTTGTGTGATAGGACCAGGAAGCAGGGATGTAAACGGGCTACATAGGTAGGGGAAACTATAGCAATTACAGCAAATGGAAAATTATGTGCAAAGCTCTGAGTTCGTCTTCTTTCTTTCAAAGAAAATCCTGAAGTTAGAGGAAAAATTATCCAACTTAAAACACTGGCTCTCGCTCTCGCTGCTGAGTTTCTCCACCATTTTCTGCTTGTTTCAGATTTCCAGCACCAGCAGTAATTGCTTTTACTGGAACAAAGAAAGGTTGGAAGAATTTCTTAAAGGTGAAACAGGAGGAGCTGTAGAGAAGCAAAGAATTTAGCATTTATGTTAGGAAACTGTGAAAACTGAATATACAGGAAGGAAAAGTAATCAAAATCAAAAACTGGCAAGGGACTCAAAACTTCAGTGTCTAAATATCAGAATCCACCAGGCATTCCTTAGGGAATTCCCTTTTTCAAAAAAAACTGTTGTGATTACAATCCTAGCTGAGACAGTAAAAACTTGTTACAATGATGTAGATAAACTGCGAGATCCAGAGGGCTTTCTAAGAGAATAAAGCCATGATATTGAGTTAGAAGCTTTCCTATTGTATTGATCCCAATTGATAGTACTATTAGACGAATCGGATTCCAGAGTGTAGCCTGACAGACAGACTTTTGCAATTTGGTTACCAGGGTGGTCAGTCAATGAACATATTAGCAGAGAAGCGGACAATGTATTTTCAACAAAACCAAAAACGTTTATTACACAGAAGGAATGAAAGAAAACTAGGTGTTATTGTGCATAATAACACAGATTTAACCTTTCTCCCCAGCAATGTCTTTCACTTGTTAGTTCACTTTAAAATTTCATACTCCACCAATGATTTCCTCGTGGCAAAGTTTTGCACATACAATAAATGTGATTCGCTCTGTTATTGTCTATCTCTGAGACACATAGACACTGGCTAACCTGTTGATATTTCTCACTAAACTCTAAGTAAAGACTTGAGGCTTTGACTGCTTTTCAGCTGCTAAATGGCACATCTGGTATGGATTGTATCTTCTGAACTGAACTTGCAACTAGCTTCTGGTGTCTCATTCTCTAGGTCATAAAAGCTCAACTTAGTACGTGCAGCAGCAATCATCTCATCAGGTATTTTCTGGAATCATTTGGTGTAAGTCACATGATTTCATGAAAATACTGTTTTGAATTGCTATTAAAATAAATGAATTTCTAACCTATTTTTAAAAAAAAGTCACCTTCACAGAATGTAATTTCACAGGCTATTTACATTTCCTTTAGTACTCAGGTTGCCTAATAATAATTATAAACCTTCACCCAAAGACTGGGGGAGCTGTGGAGAGTGAGGATTGCCAGAGGGTATAGCAGGATATAAATAGTCTGGAGACTGGGGCAGAGAAATGGCAGATGGAATTTAATTTGCATAAATGCGAGGTGATGCATTTTGGAAGGTCTAATGCAAGAAATAACCATATAGGAAATGGCAGAACCCTTTAGAGGCATTAACATACAGAAGGATATAGGCATACAGTTCCACTTGTGTCGCCATTTTCAGGGATAAGTTGGTCAAGAAGGCATACGACGTGCTTGCCTTCATCAACTGGGGGACAACACGAAAATTGGCAAGTCATGTTGCAGCTGTATAGAACTTTAATTATGCTAAATTTGGAATATTGCTTACAGTTCCAGTCACCACTCGAAGGATGTGGAGGCTTTGGCTGGTGTACAGGAAGGTTTGCCAGGATGTTGCCTGGTTTGGAGGATATTAGCTACGAGAGGAGATTGGGAAAAGCTTGGTCTGTTTTCACTTTAATGTCAGAGGCTGAGGGACAACCTGATTCAAGTTTACAAATTTATGGGAGGCATGGATAGAACAAATAGTCAGTTTTTGCCCCAGGATAGAAAGGTAAACTACAAATGGACATAGGTTTAAGGTAACGGGGAAAAGGAGATATGAGGGGCAATTTTTTTTTTAAAGAGGGTGGTAAGTGCCTGGAAGGTGCTACCAGAGGAGGTGTTAGAAGCAGATATAATAGCAAAATTTAAGAAACATCTTGACAGACATGAATACGTAAGGAATTGAGGCATATGGTTACAGACTGCATATAGGCAAAAAGTTTTTAGTTTAGAAAGGAGTCATATATCAGTGCAGGCTTTGTGGGCCAAAGGGCCTGTTGCTGTACTGTACTGCTCTTTATTCATACAATGTTAAGACACTGCTACACTTTGCAATCCATGTACTACATATATTCTAACTACCTGAACTTCTGGTTCATGTGGGTATTAGACTTTAATTGAGAACCACATAATGTATAACAAATAGCAAATTCTAAGCAATTTCTGCCACATGTCATTGACACTGTGGGTTATCAAATCTGAATAATAATTATAGAATCCCTACAGTGCAGAAGCAGGCTATTCCACCTATCGAGTCCGCACTGATCCTCCAAAGAGCATTCCACTCCCTACCCTATTCTCATAACACTGCATTTCCCATGGCTAATCCACCTAACCTACGCATCACTGGACACTATGGACAATTTAGCATAGCTAAACCACCTAATCCAATGCACATCATTAGACAGGGGGAGGAAACCCACACAGACTGAGGAGGGGAAGAATGTGCAAACTCCACACAGACAGTCACCCAAGGCTGGATTTGAACCCAGATCCTTGACGCTGTCAGGCAGCAGTGCTAATCAATGAGCTACCTCATTCCAGCTCTTCACTAACAACTAACTACATTGAAACAGCCCTGTCCCTGGATTTTCCCTGAGTTCTAATCTTGTTCAGTTACGTTAAGAAAATGCAGATGGAGAGTGTTTTAACCACAGCTGTCTCAACTATATTTAATTATTCACGCTTTCAAGCCCTTTGTATAGATCCAGCCACCTTCCCAGTTTCTCAACTTCAGACTGCTAACTCTAATACTTGACTATTTACTAATTCCTAGAACTTGTTCCTGAGTTTGAACAGGAGAAAGATATCCAAACTGTTCGAGACACCTCACCAAGACCTCTGAATCTGTGTAGGTCGGTTGCAGTACAGCCAACTGCTGTGTTCCTCACATGGAGTCTGTTTCTGTCTTTGCCTCTTTACAACCTCACTCACCACCTGCAACTCTTGAACTTTTTCGTGACCTCCAAATTGTCTTGACTGATCTAGCAATCTTGCAATGAGCTCCTCCCTTGTTACTGAGCAGAACTGAATATTGACAGCAGTAAATCTTGAAACTGAATATACCTCTCAAAGCTGGAAATGGATCTCGGCACAATTGGTTCTGATACACTATTTTATATACCAACTTGAAATCTAAATACAAATGGCAGCACAAGCACCTCCATCACTTTTTATTGATTGGTTTTCATTTAATAAATTTACAGAGCACCCATGAGACTCACCTTTCCTGAACAGATCAGCATGTACAGACGAATTTACATCAACACCTTCTATATTCAAGAAGAAACATTCTCTAGTGGAACTCACCCAAGGCATTAAGTCCTTCTGATAAAGAGGTCAGGATGTAAATAACCACATGTGGCTCTAGGTTGGAAATGAATTTCATATGGTCCTGGGTAAGGCACTCCAACAACGAATAGTAAGATAAGCTCAACTTCCGATAAGACTACACAAAATAAAAAAATGTATGTGTTTTAATAACGCAGAAAAAGCAAGGAACAAAGATCTTACTGAGTAACTTGAACCTGCCAATGTGACTAATGAATTTGATTTACTAAGTTTTGTGCAATTTTGAGATGCTGAACCAACGTCCACCTATTCCAGTGGTTCAGGTGACTGTTAAAGACAATATTCCGAAAGAAGCAGGGAGATCTCTTTGTATCCCTGCAAAACTGCTAATTCAAGAGTGAATTTCAAATTGCATAGCTATTAATGGTAAGAAAACATCATGTTTTATTGTCAATGAGTCCTGAATCCTTGGCCCAACGTCACAATGTATATAACAGGTTAACACTTATGGTATCAATAATGTAAAATTACTGGAGGAATAATCTACAGTTGATTAGATCTTGCACACAGTTAACAACAGAGAGTGAGAGTATAGAAGGCAAATGAGATCCTGGAAGCTTGATGTCATGAACTCTTGGTTGTCCTCTGTCCGTGCAAACTTTGGCCCCATCAAAAATCTTTCTTTCCTCTTCAAAGTGAACCTGGTATCCTCTTCATCATCTGTGTCTATCTTTCCAGCAACCCCTTGTTGGAATCTCTCCACACACAAAGGCCCTACCAAAGACACGTGTGAAATCTTCTGTGATTGTAATATTGGTACATTTTTGACCCCTCATTCTTTCCCTTTGTTTCACACCTAGCAGCTGTCCCTTCATCTACCTAGATCGTAAACTGAAATTCCCTTCCTAAATGTATTCATATCTCTCTCCATCTTTATGACTCCAATTAACACACAGGGTTTTGACTATCGCTTCATCTCTGAATAAGTCATCATTTATGTCAAGTTATGGTTTTGCAAAGTTCTGAGTGGCATTTCTTTGTTACATGTACTCTACAAATGCAAGATTTTTTCAAACTTTCTGTCCCTTTTAAAGTTATGTGACACTGATGGCAGATATTGACTCATGTTTTATTTTGTTAACATCTCGGAATGTTCTCTGGGGTAACAACTGCATTCTGATCATCTCATAAGGCATACCACAGGACAGTCAGAGGTGACTCTAACTTTTCATCATTCAAAGCATTCACTTTTTCAACTCTCCGTACATCTACTCCTAACTACATAACCTTTCCCAACTCAATCCTAGCCCTAGACCACCTGCAGCCAAAACTGTCATTCATGTCTTTGCAAAAATCTAGTCTGGACAGGAAAATGATCTCCAGACCAGCTTTTTCTTTTTTTTAAAAAAAGTCATTCACACGATACAGAGGTCACTATATTGGCCAGCACTTATTGGCCATCCCTAATTGCCCAGAGGGCAGTTAACTGTTGACCACATTGCTGTAGATCTGGAGTTACATGTAGGTCAGATTGGGCAAGGATGGCAGTTTTCTTTCCTAAAGGACTTTAATGACCCAAACAAATTTTTCCAACAATTGATAATGGTTCCACAGTCATCAACCGACTCTTAATTCCAGATTTTTCATCACTGAATTTGAATTGCATCATCTGCCATGGCAGGATTCAAACTTAGGTCCCCAGAATATTAACCTGGGTCTCTGGATTAATAGCCTAGCGATAATACCACTATGCCACTGCCACCCCTACCCATGTATGATCTTAATACCATCATAGTTAACCCATTCAATAAAATAAAAGCTTACTCTACAACATTATATCATTCTGTTGTTTTTATAGTGCCCAAATTATCAATACAGGTGTTGATCATCCTTAGTAGCATACTATAGATCCACTAGCTAAACATCTGTCATTGCTAGAATCAATTACTAAGAAATAGTAAATGGATATTTAAAAAGTTAAAATATAAGGCAGAGTCAACATGATTTTATGAAAGGGAAATCATGTTTGATAAAGTTTTATTAGAGATCTTTGAAGATATAACAAGCAAGGCAGATAAAGGAAAACCAGTAGATACAGCGTTTCAGAGATAGTAGGAACTGCAGATGCTGGAGAGTCTGTGATAACAAGGTGCAGAGCTGGATGAACACAGCAGGCCAAGCAGCATCAGAGGAGCAGGAAAGCTGACGTTTCGGGCCTAGACCCTTCTTCAGAAAACCTA